AGCGGCTTTCAAACTTTAAAAAGACTCACCGACCGACACTTTTTCCAACCAGTCCCCTTGAAACTATGGGAAGTTGCGGCGGCAGTACCCGTCAGTTCAGCACGCTAAAAGTAATGAATCAAGCGACCGCGAAATTTAGAGCATAGAGACAACACATAATATGTACAGCCCAACTAACTCAGTGTTTAACGTTTTGAAATACGGAAAATCTTCCAGTTTTGAAAGAAACACCAAATATGTTCTAGGTGTAATGGATAATATGGCGCATATTTATGACACAGCTCATTCACGGAATGTGTCGAGGAGCAGAGCAGTTAACGAATGCTTTTTGTGATCTGCTAAGTTCTTTCCATCGGAAGGATTTCGAAGTGAGGAGTTGAGGGTGCAGGCACAGATAGCTTAATATGGTGCCGAATGCCGATAAAACGCAATAAACAATTTTTGTGGGTAGAGGCTCAACCGTAAAGCCAGCCTGGAATACGAAACAATGTAAGTCATGTGACTGCTGCAAACCTATACTATACAGCAAAATATTGGTGCTAGCTTAAGCTGTAGAAGTACCCATATTTAGTTGCGCTGAGCCTCAGTTGTCATCAGTTTTAAGATCCTCAGAGACCGTGCGATAAACCTCCACAACAACCGGAATAAATTGGCGATACTTGCACGCAGCTAAACCGGTAAAGAACAGAGGAGCCCCGGAAGCTTCAGTCGCTCCGGTAGCCCGAACACCAGTACCGGAAACGGGACAAAAGACCAGCCAAACCACACCAATGCTATCACCACAATGTGATGCACTACGTACGCCCACGTTGAACACACGCAAAATGCCGGTTTGTTGGATGGACACTGGTCAGAGAATTCGCACAGAATGATAGGGCAAGTTGGGGCTTTCCGGTTGGCGTGTTGATTGTACACTGCACCGTTACCGGGATCCTCCGAAGCGTTGTTGCCCACAGTTGACGCTGAGAAGTTTGCGATGGGTTGCCGATGCCTCGACGGACGTGCACTATAAAAATCAGCATGCAGCGCATTGCATCATACTCGCAATAATTTTTCTGCTCTGGAATTTTTCTACCTGTGCATTTGCGGGGTTTCCCGCTGCAACACAAACCAGCCGAGTGCAAGGCTGGCCCAAACGACAAATAGCAAAAAAGAGCCTCGGTCAGTGCCAGTTGAATGTTGATGGCTCCCGCGACCACCGCACCCGTCATTTTGAATACCGGCAATGCGCGCAAGAAAAACATATGACCGCAGCAGATGCCAGCTGCACAAACAGTATAACACCACTAAGATTTTTTTATGTGAACTTTATTCCGATTTGTACAAGCTAATGCCATTTACACCTGAACATGAGAAACACCCAACCTTAACATGAGCTCTCTCGAGCACCCAACCGTTCCCAGAAGCAGCGTTCCCGCGCTGAATTTCCACACTTATACGCTGCCACAAAAATTCAGTAGCGCCCGCTTCTCCTGTTTGATCTTTAATGCGCCGACCAACTTCACTGATGATATTTGTGGAATTAAATTCTGCGCACACATTTCAACGCGCCTCGAAAATTTAGGCGCTGATTCCCCTTATCGTACAGTGAAATAGTTATCCGGTACTTATTGCAGTTTTATAATAGTGCACCGAAGTATGCACTCTGCACACGGTTTATTCATAGTAATTACGCAAAATAATACGGTTATGGCATCCATGCTGTTGCACCTGTAATATGAATGCCGAATGGTAGTTTTATGTAAGCTGGGATGCATGTTTCAAACGGAAAGACAAAAAATCAAAGGTAGAAAATTTCCAAGTTTGATAGTTTACAAACAAAATAGAGCCCGGTCCTTGTACAAGCCGAATTATCTAGCACGCATCCATCATCCGCCCATCCCAGATTTCCTCGCCAACAATAGAATTTTCGATCACAATGCAACGGAAAAAAGCCAGAAATCTCTGCCGTTCTCTGCAATTGGACAACCACCAATTTCCGGCCAACCAGCCTGCGTTTTGTGCCTGGCGTTCGCAACGTATTATGCACATTGAGCTAATTCCACTGACTTGCTCGTACGTAAATATTTTCCGCTTTCCTTAAACAGCGTTGCACGTAGTTACAAATATTAAGCGAAATATAGCGCACATGCAAGGAATTTTTGGGTACCGTACTTAAGGGAAGTCGCTCGGTACATGGTACCAAAAACGTGTACATGCACGAAATATTTCACTTTCGCGCACTCCCAAACCTTTTTTCTCTTGTTTTGTCACATTTTCTAGCCAGATAATTTGTATACACAGGCGAGAAAACCGTTTGTGCGCGCAACATCCGGTTCGGGAGTTATGGCTTTTAGAAAATTCCAAGAAAATTCCAAAAAGTTTAAATGCATTCAGGTGTACCAAAAGTCTCATTATCGACCGATCTATTTCATATTTTGCATGTAAATGCACATAACCACGAAGATTGTTTTTACACCGATCCACTGTTCTAGCATGTTTTTCAAATTTTAAAATGAATTTCAAAAAATTTAAAATTCATTTTAAAATTTGAAAAAAATCATGGAACTCTGGATCGGTGTAAAAACGATCTTCGTGGTTATGTGCATTTACGTGCAAAATTTGAAGCAGATCGGTCCGTAATGAGACTTTTGGTACACCTGAATGCATTTAAACTTTTTGGAATTTTCTAAGAGCCATAACTCCCGAATAGAGATGGCAAAACTAAAATTAGTCGACTAATTAGTCGGTTAACTGCGGTTAACTCGACTAAAACTAAAAAAATTAGTTTAACCAACTTTAGTGACTAAAACAATTAGTCAAAAGCTTTTTAGTGACTAATTTTTTTAACCGAGTAGATTTTAGTTACTAAAACTCAGCGGTTAACCGGTTAACCGGAATTTACTACCAGCGTAATGGCGGACCGCAAAAGGCGGTGGTTTGTTCATAATTTCAAGTACAGAATGCACAACCAGGTCGGCGTACTGCATAGTATGCGTGCAATACTTCAATTTAAGGGGGACTAATTTATAATAAATACGTAAAAGTTCTTCACTTTCAGTTAAATTGGTGATCGTAGAATGATAGTAATGCCATAAGTGAAAGTGTTATTAAGTAGTTTGTCCAGCGCATTAAGCTGCATGCGCTGGCCAAACTAAATAGCAGCGCATGCAGCCACTCGCTTTTTGTCTAGCTGCTTGAGGTGTCCAGTGTCTGCGTTTTCCAGCCCGGTGTGTCCAGACCAGACCAGACCGACCGCTCACAATGAAAAGCTGACCACTGCATTGTATTAATAAGACTGATAACCCAGATTTAGTCGCTTCCCTTGTAAACTGTAATGTAAAGGGCTGCTTGATATTCTTTGAAACAGTTAGAATTACTCTGAATATCACTCTACAACGAACACATCATAATTATTTCAAAATTCAAATACGCAAGGTCGGCAGGACAGAAGGCAGATGAGCAGGTGTATGTGACTGTGTAGTGATTGCCTGCTCTATTGACCACTTCGCTGGACATCACTAACGGCCGCAGCGGCCAGCTTTGCTTGACCGCTAGCCGGCTGATAGACCATCGCTCGTCTGACTCTTTTACCAGAAACAGACAAACAATCAATCGCGCGCTGTTAAATTATCAGTTGCGCCAGCTATATGCTTTTACGACCGCCTTTGCAAAAAAATGCGTAAGAAATGAATGACTCATCCGTTTTACGTTATCTAACTTGTTTCAGATAAAGGAATGTTTGTTTTCTAAGGACATACTCAGTTTAGAAAATCTGTGATTTATAAAATCGGAGACCTGCTATAAATTAGTCCCCCTTTAGGCTTGTAATGTTGTTAGCTGCATGCATTGAAATACTGTATTGGCCCTATGCAGTGTGCAATATGCATGTACGAGTACTTACTGACAGCTTTTCCAGTACTGATGTACTGATAACTTTAATGAAACAGTGCAGACCGCATACAATTACGAATGTTTTCTACTGTAGCTTATTTTTTGAAAATAAAATTTTATCTTTCTCTTAAGGCTTCAATAAATTTGATTGTTTTATGTGTTATACGGATATTAATGGCACTATGGCGACGGGTCGCCCCAATTCGCCCCAATGGTGACACCCATCGTATAAAGGAAACATTTTAACAAAAAAATTATCTTTAGTCTCGGTTAACTTTGGTTAACCGGTTAAAATTTTTAACTAAATTTAAGTTAACAACTAAAAAATTTAGTCGCCGACGTTTAACCGACTAAAAGTTTTAACCGAGTCAATTTTAGCAACTAAAACTTTTAACCAAGTTTTAGTTTAGTTTAGTTTAGTTTAGTTTCTTTTAGTTTTGCCATCTCTACTCCCGAACCGGATGTTGCGCGCACAAACGGTTTTCTCGCCTGTGTGTACAAATCATCTGGCTACAAAATGTCATAAAAAAAAAGAAAAAAGGTTTTGGGAGTGCGCGAAAGTGAAAGATTTCGTGCATGTGCACGATTTTGGTACCATGTACCGGGCCACTTCCCTTAAGCCGTTCGCTCGGGATAACATGCTTGACTTAATAGTTTTCAAATGTTTTCCTATGTACAGTATTTCATAACATTCTCGTAGGCTAGTTTTGCCCGTGAAAGTATCGTTTTTATTACACCTAATACAATATGTAGGTAATTATGACCGGCAACGGCGTACCGTACCGCCGCGTACGTATCATTCATAACTATTACATACTCGTATCTTGGCATCTACACAGTTACACAAAGTGTGCAAGTGCACCAAAACTTGTACGTTAGGCCATGTTTTTACACCGTTGACTTTATTCGCTCCAGCCTCCATTAATTATTCTGCACACACCCACACGTACAGTACATACGTTTTTCTTGTACATTACGAAAACATTCCCGTCTACCGGGGTAACTGCAATTTGATTATCGCAACTACCCTAGCCATTTATCGATTAACGTTCGTCCTTCGTTTACCGGAATGCCAATCGACGTCATTACCTTTTGTGCCGACTGCCGAGTGCAGTGGGAGACGAGGATCGCTTACACGACTGCAATAATATGGAGACTATGGAGTCACAAGATCTGGCGCTATACTAGAACCGCACTAGCGCTAGCACTTCACTCTGTGGCAGTGCTGTTCTTAGATTTATCATTTAACGGCCATATTCACAAAAAAGATGAGGAAAGGTCACAAGAGTACAATCGGAAGATTTCGCAAGAGCTTTCGCTATGCTCTTAACAAAGATCCGGAATGGGCACATCAGGAAATCATGACGGAAGCCATTGTGGTGCTGTGGTTTGCTGCACAGCTGGCCGTTAAATTCGGTTCCCGGATATTCGCGGAATGGCAAGGATGTCGTACCGATCCGGCGATACCGACGTACCTAGATGGTTTTCTGGAATGGTTTGGACTGGTAAATCTGCATACGCTAATCGGTTGAAGTGGCGCGACACAGTCATTTGCCGTTATTTTGTACAATCCCTATAGCCACCCCTTATTACCACCGTTTTTTACAGCCACCCTTTTTCGCACGCGGTTAATTATAGGCATCCTTTTTTAATAGTTATTCAGTAAATATACCCTGCTATCGGTTTGTACGAGCACCCATTTTAATTGTAACTTTCATGAATTATTAATATCATTTTTTGGATGCTATGAAAGAATTTGTTCCGTGTGCTTGTGAAGCATTTGACGCGTGTTAATTTATTAGAAGAGTCGGCAAAAAGTTGTACGTTAGAACAAGAGAAAGCCGCTCTACTTGCTTTCTTATTCAACGTTTTAGTCTTGAGATTCAACGTGGGAATGCTCAGAGTGTGTTGGAACTGCTTTGCCAATGATACCTGAAGGGTTTTTTTCATTTAGAAGATGTCTTAGCAGGCGAAGACGTTGATACTTAGTGAATAAAGATATTATTTATTACAAGAATAAGTTTATTCTCCATGAATTACAGAAAATGACTGGGTGCGTTTGGAATGACATTGTATCGTCCTGGAAGCCACCCAACGGAATCAAAGTTACAACACCGCTGCACCACATTGCCGCAGCAGCGGGAACGGTAGGATCCCTGGGATACATTGGCGCCTTTGCGACCGTCTGCACCACGGCCCTCCTGACCATCTCCGTGGTCTGCTCCTTATTCGTCAATCGTCACTGGCAGTATCCGCGGTGGCGACAACACCTGCACGGCTGCCACAAGATAACGGAACTGTTCGGCTACTATTCGGACGGAGACGGGGGTTACGGCGGCATATGCCATGACAAACTGCGCGATCTGCTTTTAGCGGTGGTCGTGTTGCTTGTGCAGCTGGCCGGTGCTACCGTCGCGTGGTTCTTCTTGTGCGCACTGCCGGTCGTCATGGCGATGGGCGCGGTGGTCGCGGGAGTCATCAACATTTTCGGCCTAACTGCGGTATTTCCGTGCTGCGTAATCGTCGTCTGCCTGATGGCCGTTTACTGCTTGGGACGACTCTGGGGATTATGGATGAAGAATACGTACTTTATGTGGCTGCATCGAAAAATTAAGTAAGCGCGCGTGTCGCACTCGAAGCGAAGCCACATTCGATATCGTTGCTAATTACGGCAGATAAAATCGCGTAAATAAATAACTGGTTCGATGAGATTTGTGCATGCACTCGTGGTACTGCTGAATTGGGCATTGACTTTTCTCGTAGGACGGCATTTGGTGTGGACATGCTAATAACTGTAAAGATTCCCGATGCCGCACCGGCAAAATACTCACCGTCCCCCAAGCTTACATCGACTGAGCGAAACCCGGAACCGTCAAAGAATTTTCTGATTCAAAAGGCGGTTTTATTCATGGCTGGCGCAACGGCTATATTAACTAACATGGGACCACTTTTTTGGCGATTTCCCTTGGTTCAGTACGCTCTGGACGCAAACGCGATCACCGGGTCCGGAACCGCGGCCTCCAATTGGACTTACTGGGTGAAGGGCAACTGGACTGTGTGCAAAAGCAATGGCTATCTGTATGGAACGGTAAGTACAGATAATAACATCAGCTATTTTTTCCTAAGAGAGTATCAAGTAGAAACTAAAAATTGAGGTGCAAATAAAACGACAAGTTTTTTTCTTTACGCTTGGCCGTCGATTATGAAGAATCTGGGCGCTGAGATGGGTATGCTGTCGTACTGGGTGGATCTTGCGTCTGACGAGCTGAAATCATCCAACACATACAACGCACCAATAATTCTCAGCTTTAATCCGGACTATCCGTCCATTGTCAGTGGAATTTTTATGGTGTGGAGCGGCCTGGTATTGGCCGCCGGCTTGACACCCTATCTCCTTCTGGCATTGGCCGAAGCCAGCTGTCTTTTATATATCGTTTGGCAGATCATCGTTGAGTGTCGCGGCGTGAAAGAATCCCGAATCACCCAAACTCAGAGGTAAAAACTATCCAGAATAGGAAATTTATTGCAAGGTAGATATAGTCCGTTGCTTTCCGGTCTATATACAGTATTCATCCGGCTTGCCTTTGGCAACCCATCGCAAATTTCCCAGCGGAGGAAGCCGGCACCGATGCAGTGTACGACCAGTATGTTAACCAAGAAGCTCCAACTGACACCATCATTCCGTGCGAATTCTCGGACCGGTGCCCATCTAGCCAACCGACATTCTGCGTGTGCTCGACGTGGGCGTACGCGGTGTATTACATTGCGGTGATGGTACTGGCGTGGGTTGGCTGGATTTTCGTCCCATTTCCGGTGCTGGTGTTCGGGCTACCAGAGCGACTGCAACTGCCGGGCATTCTCCTGTTCTTTACCGGTTTTGCTGTATACACCTACCGCCAGTTTACCCCGTTTGCTGCGGAGATCTATCGCATGTTCTCTCGTGACAGTGGCGCACCGAACAGAAGCGCTTGGGACTGAATGTAGCCCGATTAAATTCAGGTAAAGCCTATATAGTATTTCTGTAAAGTACAGGTTCGCATTACTTACAACTGTTTTACATTCCAGGTTTGCGTTACCATCAAGAATTATTCAGCTTGCAGTCAATTGGTACTGCAACAAAGTAGCTGCGCATTCACCCGCAACATCTCGATCTCTTCGCGAGAGGAAATTTTGGCCGATCATAGTAAAGCTCTGCATATTTCTGCAGTTATGGCATGGGCATGCTGCTCGGATTTCCGCTGAATTATCGCGGGGACTGAGTCATTAGTACCATTAATACTGTTTTACCCGATTCAGATTGTATTATACCAATATATACCAAAAAGATTCTTCTTGTTTCTTTTAAAAGATAAAAGAAGATTTTTAGATAATGATTTTTAGTTTGTGATAGAAGCCGTGAACACTTATGGTTAGTATTTCCTAAATTCAGCGGCTATTTGAATCATTTTAGCACTTTGCCATGTTGACATTGAATTTTGTCGAAATAAATTCTGCTCAAGTTTGGTCATTTCACCCTGATGGCATAAATAAATGCCACTTTTTATTCAACGAAGCCAATACATTTACAGAAAGGCATGCCCTCTAGACACCAGGTAGAACGATACAAATTGAAACGTTGAAAAACAGCAGAATCACTGTTTTTCGTCTGGGGATGCGTATTCTTGTGTTATTGCAACTGCAAGCGTTCCCAAGACGGCTGTATCTCTCTAAATTCAGCTGCTCTGTAAGCTTAAGCGCTCTCTGCTTTAAAAAAGCCGTATATCGATGCTCCCCACTCCCAGTAACTTAACGGATCTTCCGGCCGATGAAACGAATCAATTCAGCAAAGGCGGTTCAAAAACAACCGAGTGCTTGGCCACACAATGTCAGAAAGCAATCCAAAAAATGGTATATATATATATATATATATATATATATAAATGCGCTCGGAATGGTCTCGTGACATGCAGCTTCCCGTCGAAAAAATCTTTAACGGTAACGGCATAGAGTAGCATTGCACGATGATGCATCTGCACAGTTTATATGGATGTGTGCCAATACTGAATGTAAGACCATGGTTTGACATCGCTCTCCATATTCGATGCACTAATGCTGTTCCTTAAAGGCGATTCGTACATTTATGGTACTGCGATTTTCCTGTACTATAGGAGAACACCGAAAATATGCGGTGTTCTCCTATAGATAGGCATTCCTATAAATAGGCATTCCTATAAAAGCAGAAAATATAAACTCTTGTATGATAATAACAAGGTTCACTGAGGAATGTTACCAGTTGCTAACAATATAAATGAAACATCGACTGTCCTCACCAAAATAACCCGTGCGCACCGCCTAAATGATCCAGTGTACGCATTCTGCAAATTTATCCGCTGGCATGCATGACGAATACACTCCTCGTTCTTCCGAGTTTTTGTCTTATTACATGATTCACATCGTTGTCCTGTACCTGTCACCATTCACAACTGTAAATGACGACAGTTTCCGTTTTGAAATAACCGGTACAAGGTAAGGCTCAGCCCCGTCAGCTGCCCACGGGCTAGTGTCAATCTGCAGCATTATATTGTATGTCCAGTACACACTACACGCGTTTAATAACATTGGGTTATTCAGCCTTGATACTTTACAAAATTAATGATTTCAGCACTCCAAACCTGTACTATTTTAGCGTGCGTATACTTTAAACCGGCAATGAAAACCTGATTTATCAGCGTGGGGGTAACTTATAACCGGAAACCGTGTGCCTTGCAGCTATAGAAGCTTACACACAACCAAGAGCACACTGTTTTATATATAACTCCATCCAGTTTGGTTTTGCTTTTCCATGCAGAGCGTGCACGTTAGGCGGTTTGAAGCCTTGTCCCCACTATTTCCTTCCACCAGGATTTGCGACGGCCCGAAATACCTCAAGATGTCCCGTTTTTGCGATGGGTTGTTCTTACTGAGTATATGCTCCTTATCTTCCAGCTTACCCAGCACCGGTATTTCAACCAAATCTTTCCACGTTGTTTAAAGGAAAGTTTCTATTTGGCATTTACAGATTTTGCCAAGTACATTCCTGAGGATGATCTCAAGGCGATTAAAGCGGGTTCGCTTCGGTCCAATGTGCCGCCATCTGACACATCCGTGTACGTCTACCAGGAGGATATTATAGGCTGTTTGCCGTCACAGAAACCCGTCTGCCCACTGCAGACCACCGAACCGCAGTATTTCAGGCTGCCGGACGGGACGGTAGAGATCCCGTATATCGTTGAGCCGGAAGTGGACGGTTAGTGCAGATACGTTTTGCGCTACTCTAACTTCATCAAGAGCATTATTATTACTCGGTAAACGACTACGGCAATGGCAGACAACGAGAACAAAAACAGATGTTCTATGCAACACGCGTGTAGTAAAAACAGTTCCGTGCTGCGAATGTACTGGAAAACTGGGCATGCTCATGGTCGTGATACCCTAAGCTAAAAACAGAAAAGTACAACAAAAGTTGCCTCTCTTCTATGTGTCTTTAAAGTTCTTGGTTGGGAAAATTCGGATAGCATTAAATACAGTAGCCGCATGGGTTATAAGTTGTGATTATTTGTGCCTTGTTTCTTGCCATGTAGAAACACTGATCGATGAAATCGTACTCGCCCTGGAATCCATCTCCAACCAAACCGGCTGCATGCAGTTCGCGTCGGCCGACGACGCGGCCATCAAACACGTCCCCAGCCGACCGGTGATTCGCTTTTCGGGCAGTGATATGTGCGCCGGAGAATTCGAGGGCGCCAAAAGTCCCCGGCATAAAGTTTACATCAGTCCTCAGTGTATTAACGGTGAACGGAGTAATATCCAACGGTTGATTTTGTTGGCGATGGGATTTCCACATGAAGTTAGCCGCAACGATCGCGACCAGTATATCATCATCAACTGGTACAACGTTGTCCCAGGTAGCCGACGGCGGCAGTCCACTTCTTTGCCTCGAAAACGATTTAGCTAGAATGCTTGCTGTTGAATGCCTCAGGTAAACAAACGAGCGTAATAAAAAAACCGATTGTTTGCAGAGAGAACCTGGGAGCTGGAGAAATATGATCGCGGGGTTTTCGATAGTCTTCCATACGACTACGATTCCATTTTACATCCCGGCTACGTTTTCTTGGCGCAGAACACCAAAATGCCGACCATTATGGCTAAAAATAAAGCAAGAGTAGGCCAAAATAAACAGCTAAGCGAAACGGATATCAAGAAAATCCAGAACCTAATCTGCAAAAGTAAGATACTATGCTCGAAGTTAATCACACGAAGTACAGTACGTACATATGAGTATTACATAACACATGCTATAAAAAAATGCAGTTTTAGTAATGAGCGTATCGCTTTTGTCTTACATCCGTTACAGAAACAGCTACGCAACCGGCAGCCACCCAAAACGCGCAAATAGGTACAACTTGGTCAATGCAAATAAAGCAAATGAAAAAGTAATTTACCTTGTAGTACCCGATACGCCGGTCCCGACACCCACACCGACGAAGAAACCCTCCGATAACGAAATTAAAGTTCCGGCAGTCCCGATAAAATCTGCCGGCGCGGCGCCATCCAAAGCGGACGCAACGACAGGCGATATTCAACCATCCATGTGTTCGCTACGCCAGCTAGTGCTTTTGCAGAACACGCAGACTATGTCGAGGACGACGGTTTTTCCCACGAAACGTCGCCTGAACCATTCGACGAAGGACACCACGTGGTGGTACGCACAAGATTCCGCTCCCGGTAAGCCTTGTTAAATTGACACGTAGGGGCTAATAAAAGAACCGTGAACTTCCGGCTCCGTTTCCGTGTTTCGATTGGCACACATCCTATACTGATCGTTATCGGAACCAAATCAATTTTATTTTAGATAAAACCGACTACTTGGGCCAATCGGTGGATTATACGGAATTTAGTGGTGTGGTCAAAACCGTAACGACGAAACTGGACAATGCGGCCACCCGCATACTGGAAACGGAATATCAGCCGCTCGTACTGGATGACGGCAACACGCGCTTGCAACGAAAATTCGAGACCAGGATCGTCCAGTGTCAAGACCGGGAAAGGTCGTTATAAGTTCTTCGTTATTGTGTTATCAGTTAGAGCTGTTGCTAATATTGTCTGACGCAAAATGTCTTCCAAAAGCTTCACTTAGAAAACTGAATAAAATAATAATGGGGCAACGTACAACTATAACGTACGTCGTACGGCGAGTTGATATGGTTACTATGTAGTACAGAGTATATACTGTAGCGGCTCGGTCAAGTGCCACCACAGAGTTGATGTACGGGAACTCAGCACTTGCAAAGTGTGCACTGCTCGTGCTTGAGAGCGCCTGAGCATGCACACGATGCATGTGTGCTGTTTTCCCGTACACCAACTCTGTAGGGCCACTTGATCGAGCCGCTACAGTACTACATATGTACATAAACAGGATGTTCAGATTTATACAGTGCAAAGCGTCTTCATACTTTTACCGAACCTGAAAAGCACACTGCGCTATATGTCAAATTGAAATTACATGGGGGTCCTGAGTTTAATTAGTTTCCAGTTGTGATTTTCTTCACTTACCGTTTAGACGTATTAACTAACGTTTAGACGTTTCGACGTACTTACCGTTTAGACGTTTTAAGGACTGATATGGCAGTCCTTAAAACCATGCGAGCACTATTTGCTGCTGCATGCAAAATTTGAAGATTTTCTTTCAGAGATTACGCTAATTTTTCAAATCTGCATTTTTCTTTATACTTGCGTTGCGCCGGCTGCCCGGCCAAATTTTTAGCCTATAGAACCGATTGTAATAAACTTAAAATGCATTTTAAGTGAAATAACTGAGCTTCCGTAAAATTCTGTGAAATGAACTTCTGTGAAACGAACAAGATCTTCATGAACATAGACTTCTGCGAAATTCACAAAAATACCTCATATGGGGTATTTATGTGAATTTCACCGAAGTGCATGTTTTTGGTATTTCATCCAACGAGCAAAACAGTGTACCATAATTAATAAAAACAAATTATTTTTTGTTCTTTTCCCGGTAGCAACAACGGTAGAACTATTTGATTATACAATTCACAAAGTTTCATCAGTATGCAGCCGTTAATGACCCATTAAATTTGCGTATCTTCGCGACGCAGGAAAGCCTGAAGTCTGATCGAAGCTTGTGCGTCAAGAGGGTATTCTGAGATGTCAATCCATCCCAACGAAGCTAATAAAAACTTCAATTCCAATTATATTTGGTTACACCACACTAAGAGAACGCGTTGCTACGATCGGTGAAGTCCAAGCCGCATCCCGCCAACTCGTTACCCTACCTTGCACTTGACATTTAAGCTTTCTTCGACCGGCTTTGAATCAGAGGCGCTATTTCTGTATGACTACGTGCTTGCTGAAACCTATCTAAGTGTTTTCCAAGACTGGTTTTGGTTGATAAAGCACTTCAGCTGGTGCGGTTTCAACGGTGTTCACGGCAAGCGCACCGTTACGACATTGACGGACGGCGAGCAAGAATCCACAATGGCAGTTTCCGATAAAATTTCCGATTCCGATTTCCACAATGGCCGATAAAATACGACCGGAAGTGCAACGATGTTAATTACAATGACACATTGACATACACTATAGCTGTACAGTTCTGTATATAACTACACCGTGTGGATTAGCAGTTGCGACGATTGGAAAGGTTTGTATTAAACTGCTTCGTCGTTATCTCTTCCTTTGCAAGAAAACCAGCAGTATTACATTCTCAATAAATTTCACACTCCTGGTCGGCTTTGGTTTTGGTCAGACGCATTAGCACCTAAAATCATTTAACTTTTAAGTATGTGTATTTAACAACAAGCGTTATTGCCCGGTGAAACAATTTCACTACCTAAGCGCACAAAAACCCAAGGTTCCCCTGATTTTGACACTTCGTCCGTGCTACGCATAATTTTGACCAAACGATAGACTATTGCATGTTTTGCAGTAACCGTTAATATATATGTTTTGAAAAGTGCAGAATTCTGTATACGCTATACGGTATTTGAACATTGAATAACTGTTCAGCACGGACGCCGTTAATTATCACACGCTACAGGTCTATACAAAACGACCTTATAGAAAAGCAACTACTTCAGTCCTCTCTTGCACCGCCCATTAGCGCGACTCTCGCCGATGAGAAGCACAGTCGTTAGGTAAACCGGTACAGGAACAGCACGACGGAACGCAGTTACGAGGAAGCCAGGGATAGGCACCTGTTAAAAGCATTGCACGAGTGGTCGAACGCCGGGTTGAGCTCTGATTTTGCCCAGGCATTTTTTTCAACGTGAATTTTATTGTATTTTGTTTCATTAATGATCGATTGTAATAATTACTGTTAGAAGCAACATAGCCAAGGTTGGAAAAAATGCCGCAGATACGGACACTGTACCAGATGTTTCGGCATCGCCTGGATAAAAGCAGAATGTGGGCGTATCAAGATATAATGACGGAAGCCTTGGTTGTTCTCTGGCTGACCAGTCAAGTGTCGGTCAAACTCTGGTTACGGCTCTTTCCTGAATGGTACTCCATTAATGCGGATGTGTTAACCGATCTAGATTTCATCATCGAACTCTTGGGATACGTAAGTGCGTGCTTGCTCTGAATAGAATGGGTGGCGTTTTCTGAAAAACATAATCAAAGTAAAAAATTCACTTTATTTTGGAAAACAGTAAGTACAGCTACCTACCGTTGCATGGCTGCTTTAATTCGGCCTTAACATAAAACCTGCGCTTATAGAAACCATAAATACTTATAATTATTTTATTGTTAGTCCGTACGAATACATGCGAGTACATACACAGATTGTACAGTGTATGTATGTTCTTGTAAAACTGGTTAAATTATTATGACAAGTAAGATAAGCAAATGAAGAAGCAAAGGCAAAGTATTATTATGCTTTGCGCATTAGTCACACAGCTTATTTGTTAAAAAGGTAAAAGTTATGAACTTCCTCTTGAAAGAACTTATAATACTGCAGCACTTTGCAAATTTTTAAACTGAGCCTTGCAGTTTTTTTAAACAAACTGTTATGTCCAAAACCTTTACATCTTGAAAACAGGAAAGTGTACAGTTATAAGTGAAAACATTTCATTACGGGTGGTGTCTTATGCACTAAACGTTCAGCGGAATTAAGGAGCAAGCGTTTTAAATAAGAATACTTGCTGCCGCATGTCTTTCCCGCAACACTTCACGACACTGAATCATTAACCTAATTTTCTGTCTTAACAACTGTTTTGTTCTGCTTTGAATTCCTTCCCTTATGTAGAATGCGAACGGATGTCTTTGGGATAATGTGGTACTGCCGTGGAAGCATGCCGCCAACAGCAGCGCTTCCCAATTCGATGCTGCATGGACGAGAAATGAACAAGCTGAAGGAAATGTTGGATATTTGGGCGCATTGGCCGTGACATGTTCGACGGTTCTTCTGGCCATCTCACTCTGCTTTTCTCTATGGGTCAATCGGCACTGGAAATGCCCAGCATGGACACAGCATTTACACAGCTGCCATCGCATAGCTGCCATCCTGGGATACGATGAGAACAGTGCCGGCGGCGCCCAGGGCTGCTGCCTTCTTATTTTGCGCTTGCTCACGCTAACTGTTAGCGTTGTCTGCGTAACTGCGTTTTGGTTGGTCTTCTCGGCAATGCCAGCGGTGATTTTGGCAGGAGCAACGGTTTTTGTGACGACTGCAATGTTTGGTACCGAATCCATGTTCCCATGTTGTGTTCTTGCGCTGTGTACCCTGTCCATTTACTGCGTCGGAAGAGTTTGGGGTGTCTGGATGAAGGACAGCTACTTTACGCGAATTCACCGAAAACTTTGGTAAAAATTTACCGCAGTGCGTAAAGCGCCTTAATTCTACCGAAAAATTGTATGTGCCTCTTTTCGCACAAAGAGCGCAGCTATGTTCCATAAAATTAAAATACGATAAAAAATAAGGATATTTTGTTGCACTGTTTCTGATTCTGAGTTCTGTCGTAAACTCAAAAATCTACCATCAGGTAGTAACGTCACAGAAGTCAGAAAACTGAATACGTAACACGGATAACACAGTTACTCGTACAATACACATTTGTATTATGCAGGTGCAGTCGTAAACAGTAATATACAGATAACGTGACCGTTGTAGCATTGTTATGCTACTAATGACTAAGTTAGATTTTTTTAATTCAGGACCTTACGTGTTAAGTTACTCGCTAATCTACCGACATCGTCAATCGTGTCTAAAAACGTGCCTGTCAGAAGCCTTGAAGACGTTGCTGAAACCCCAGAGCCACGCGCGTACCACAAATTTGACCAATCCCGCTGGTTTCTGGTCGGCTGCCTGGCTATGTCAAGAACTTCGGTGGAAGTGTTTCTTAGCTTTCCCATGACGACGTACACACTGAATAGCTTCGGGTGGAACAACTACTGGAATGGGGGAACCAAGTTTAACAGCGCTGAATGCAACAACTACACAACGGTACAGCAGCAACCTCACCTGTATTAAGTCATTTTGTCATGTAACCCACACTCCAGATATGCCGCATTTAAAAATATGACATTTCTTTCTGGCAGAAGTTTGACTAATGCTGAATGAACGCGGTGCTGTTATGATTGTTTAGATTATAAGTCAGACGGGCGCGATGATAGCCTATCACGAGGATCTGGATGAAGTCCGACGCACTGGTGGAGGCGACCACGAGGTGTCCGAAGCCTTCAACAGCGAATTATTGCGGACATGGAGTGGATTTGTAGTGTTGACTAACTTCTTCCCGTTCGTTCTGCTGGGCATCTTGGAGGTGGTCGTTATCGTAGTTCTGCTGGCATTGGCGTTGTGGATGCTGGTCGGTGGACTGAAATGCTGTATTGGTCTTGCGTGTTCGATATGTACCGGCGCAACACCAATCAAACGAATAACCTACGTTTCGGATATATGCCACCGCAGGTTAGCAGCTTTGAAGTTAGAGAATATTTATTTTCCTATGTAGTGAAACTATAAAAGAATATCGGTTAAATGTCATTATTATGTCGGTTTCTGCGGATTCTGGCAAATTTGCAACGAAAATGGTACTAGTACTGAAATTGAAATCGGTTTATGGCTATATATGGTTGCTTGCTAGATCGTCCGAATCAGAATCGGAAGAGCTTGATGAAGCATCCGTAAAGATCCAGGATTTCCGGGGTTGCAAGGAGCGTATGCAACGCCCATGTGCATGCGGACACTGGGCCAAGATCGCGTGCGAAGCCATCATCAGCCTTCAGCGACTGATCGCGTGGTGGTGCTTGCCGTTCTCCCTGGCGGGATTCTTCTTGCCGGTGTGGATGCAGCTGCCCGCCATACTGCTACTCCTTACTGGCTACACAATCTGGAACTATTGGCGTTATTTAGTTCACACTTGCCGAGGTACTGTGGAATGCGATCCGGTGGAGCGATGCCATGAGATGCAACTGGATGGAACTGGATGCCGGCAAACAGATTCAACAAACTTGCCATGGAGAAGGCCGCGGAAGTCGTATGTCCTGGCGATAAATGGGCAAAGCATTGTAATTGGCGATGACCCACATTCGGTTTAGGAGCGCAGAATCTCGCAGCTGCTAAGATAATGAAATATGCAAACTGCGGTCAGTAGGCGATACTTCTGCGCAATTAAGGTTATAGGTTTCAATTACCGATATTAATTTTGCCATATTGAATAGAAATGTCGGCTTGCACACTCCGGTTACTAAAGACCGAAAGAAAGTCGACTGCTACTGAACCTTCTCGTATTTTCATGGCAGTTTGCAACCGAGTCTCCTGAATTTTGCCAAAAAATGAAAGATATCGTAGAAATTATTTCTATTTTTACCTTACCCGCGATGATCACAATGATGACAATTTTTTATTAATTACCGGAATCCGTAGTGTTTTGTAATTTTAAGGCAGTTCAACGATGTCCTGTTATAATTTATGTCAGTATCAAATTATTTCCGCCATATCGTCCAACAAGCTGCAGATATGCAAAATGCAGTTTCCGTGTATTCAAAGCGACGCTAAGTTTGAACTCCAGATACAGCACAAACGTTTTTGCAGTCTTTATTCTCGACCGGAAACCACATGTATACGTATCGCCATTATACATGCGTACGCGTTTTAATCTTCTACTACACAGCAATGACAGCATCCGTTGCTGCGTTTGATCTAATAATAAAAAATTAAACGACAGTATGTTGCTGTGAATTGTGAATTCTAATTCTGGTCACTCGCTTACCCGGAAATTTTCCCAATTTTTAGCGCTTACACGGCTTTGATTTTCTGGGCTCGCGACTGCAGTTTAATATTCAGACGTATATACCGGTAATCGAAGTTGTTGAGCTCAGAATTTTCAAGTATATAATTACATCATTATCCCAATTACAATGTTATTACAACATTACTCCAATGATTAACTGATTTGGTGAAAGATATCGAAATTTCCTTTTCGTAGCATGATACTTGTTAAAATTAATGTTGCATTACTGTATCCGCTCGCACATCTTGAACCACAGAGTGTGTGTACGGGAAAAACGCGCATTCAATATACACACTCTAACCGGGCCAAACGCGCGATTCGCGATTTGATAAATTTCTGATGTCTTACAACATCTGGACTGGAGAACTTCTTGAATAATGAAAAAAATTAGAGCTCTAACAATTTTTATCATGTTTAGGCTCGAAAGCAGCCATTAACATACAGCTTTGGCGTAAGCACGAGTTACAAACGGATTTTGTTGTGGTTTTGGGGTGCCCCTGGAGGGAGGGGTACGTTCCGCGTCAACATTCTTGATGGCGATGAACCACCGAACAATGCGAGCTTTCAGCTACAGAACCTTTTTTTTCCAGAGTGAATTGCCATTTAAATGAAAAGACTTGATTTAATAAACAAAAATTCACAAGAAGAACTGTTCATCTTGAAACCAAATGAGGAATATTTCGTAGTCGTGCATTTTGCCCGGTTAGAGTGTGTATATTAAATGCGTGTTTTTCCCGTACACGGACTCTGTGGTTCAAGATGTGCGAGCGGATACAGTATTGCTTACCAGTTCAGATGCAGCCGCCACCAGCTTCAAATCACATTATATTTTCCTGATACATCGATCCAGTGTATTTTTAAGCGCATGCCGCATGGGATGGTGGCAGCAGCGCACACGATTAGGGATCTGGATGTACGATGTTTTACAACGGAGTATACAGTACATAGTGAGTAATCATGCCAATGGTACTCAGTACTCGTAGTGGATCTCACATCCACGGAGCATGCATAGTATACTGTACTATAATATACTCTACGCAATCCAGCTGCAAAACAGCACATCATGTCGATCCACTTAAGGACAGTATTGATCCATGCTGGGAGGCGGGAGCAAGCTACCACGATGCACCTTTCTGCTGTACTTTCTTTCTAAAACTTTGAATTCAACCTGCAATGCAGCTAAGTCTTGTAACTGCTCACTCTCTTAATTCATTGTAAAAAGTTTATGCCAAAATTATGAACCGTCGCAATTTTTTGTAATCTGCAATGCTATCCAGTAAAAAGTTTCCCCTTATTTAAGATCGGGCAGAGGTGACAGATTCAGTGGAAATGCGGGATCCACGCAGCGGTGTGCCATGGTCCCTGGTTAAGAATCGCATGTGGGCATATCAGGAAATTATGGCGGAGGCACTGGTTGTCCTGTGGATCAGCAGTCAAATCTCGGTTAAATTTGGCACAAGCGTCTTCCAGCAATGGCAGACGGGCCGAACCGCTTCCGATTATCCAACCAGCCTGGATGATGTTCTTGAATACTTCGGATATGTACGGGCCAATATAATTTCATTTTGTTAGATTTTACCCTTGGTTGCATCAATACTCTCATACGTATGTGTATATGTGCAAAACACACCAACCTTCCTGAAATTTTTTGCTTACTCATATACTGTACAGTATCTGTAAGTCGTAAGTAAAATTGTAAAAACCATAACAGTTGTAACGTACTCGTACTAATCAATTACATGAACATTTATGAACAGCAAAACATGCCGTATAAATATCGGGATAAACATTATTATGTCAGCCTATCTATTTCTACTAATGAATGAGCAACGGTTAGGGTTCGTATAATTATTGGGCATAAATGTATGTGCATAATTAATGCATATATGCGCTTATGCAGTATGATTGACTGTATAGCATCATCAGTATGTTGTACTATGCTATGTACAGAGCACATAACTGAGCGCTGCTGCCAAGTACATAGTTTCTGCTATCGCAAAAATGGCGCCCACACATATAATGCAAAGGCGTTACATAAATTATACTTTAGACAAAGGTGCCATTTAAATAATATACAAAAACTCATACAGAGATAGATGTCTACTGGATGATAATGCGTTATAGGTTAAATAGTGTGTGTTATTATACACTTTGTGCGTACTATTAAATGTGCTTCATGTATTTTTTAACTTGATAAATGTACAAGATTAAAAATGTTGAAAGCCGTGAGAAAATGTTGGAGGAGTTTCTTGTATAGTTTTTTTTTGGTTTTATTTTTAATGAATTTTCTCGCAGTTTTAAGCGAATAATCATTGCTCCACGTATTAGAAACGTAGAGAAAATGTAAATACAAGTTACAGAACTAGAAGTATGTATACTGATTCTGCAGTGCAAATTATAGCCAAGCTGAAGATTTTCAAAACTTGTCTAGTATGTGCTCAGTATTTCATAATCAGTTCTTTTTCCTCTAGTTGTAAACCTTAAACTTGAAAAAATGACGAAACATATTTATTTTATTCACAATTAGTTAATGTAACAAAGGTAACTGCGCCTTATAAAATTTATTCTATTTAGAAATTTCGTGGATGCGCTTTAGCGGGCATGCTGGCGCACTGGAACGGTTCTCCCGCCAGAAATTCGCCATCGCCAGAAGTGACCGACATCCTTAAGCAAATCAGTCCTTTGCGAGCCAATCTGGGCTATGCCGGCGCCGTGATCACGGTGTGCGCCACCATCATGCTGAGCTTATCCATTGCCGGTTCCCTCATCGTCAACCGACACTGGCGGCCTCCGAAACGGACATCGTCGCCGACGCATCTGCGCGGTTGCGGTCGCATTACGGCGTTCTTACTGTACCATCTCCACAGTAACACTGGTCCCGATAAGACGAAAGAAAAGATCCCGGTGAATTCCTGCTGCTCCATACTGAGCCTGGATCTTCTCGGTCTGGTTACTCTTATTTGTACTCCTGTATTGTGTATTATCTTCTGTACTCTGCCGGCTATCATTCTGCTGGCAATTAGTCTCTTGGTGGTCGTTGCGGAGTTCGGAGCCGAAGCTGCGTATCCGTGTTGGGTGGGATTTGTCTGCCTGATGAGCCTGCATTGCACCGGCCGGCTTTGGGGATTGTGGATAAGTGACGGTTACACTGCCTGGATGTGCAGAAAAATAAGGTATTGTATGAGAAAAACTCCGCTGCACATTCACTGTCAGTGCGGGATGCGTAGCAGCATTACCTAAACGACCGGCCACCGGCTAGTATCCTACAAAAATTCTAGATCTTATTATTTCAATAGTAAAGACCTGTTGATACTGGTTCCATACGGCTCCATTTGTGCTACCAATATTTGTGCACAAAATTACAAATTAGAAGCAAGCACCAATCAACGCCTATCCGTACATAGCTGATTTACAAGGCAAGTGAACGCGAAAGTCATGCACGCCAGTTTCATAACTTTAAACGAAATGAACATGCGAGCAGCACACAGCCAGTTCGCCTTATAATAACTCACGAGTCACAAGCACAGCGCGCGGCGCTTATGCGCCGCGCTGCAGTGCAAAGGCGGTTCTTGTCAGCTGGGCTTTTTTGCTAAACGAATTGAAGTGAAACGGTTATATATGCTAAGTCAGTCTTATACTCTTATTAAAAGAGGAATACAGTTATCTAGAAACGCGTTCAAAAAAATTTTTAGGTTACAAAACGCTTAAAAGCGTGGACACATCACGCGTGGCCGTCAGTTACACAGGTTTAAAAGAGTGGGTACCGCACGCGTGGCATCCGGTTACCAAAGGCTTCAATGAGCGGGCACCGCAGGCGTGGCCTTCTGTTACAAAAGACTTAAAAAGGCGGTTACCGCACATGTGGTTTTCGGTAACCAAAAGGTTTGAATGGATGGGTACCGCACGCCTGGCCATCGGTTTCCAAAAGCATAAAAGTGTGCGTGCCGCACGCGTATCCTACGGTAACCAAAGGCCTAAAAGAGTGGGTACCACACGCGTGGCCTTTGGTGGCCAAAGGCTTAAAACGGCGGGTACCACACGCGTGGCCTTCGGTGGCCAAAGGCTTAAAACGGCGGGTACCGCCCGCGTTGCCTCCGTGACCAAAGCCTTAAAAGGCAGGTGCCGCACGCGGAACTTTTGGTTACTAAAGGCTTAAAAGGTGGTACCGCATCTTAACTAAATTCTTAAAATGTGGTACCGGTAAGTTAATTAAAGTTATCAGGTTTCTTAAAGAACTAAGGTTTTGAAGCTTAGTAAGGAGCAAACTTGAAGCTGGGGTCCGGTTTATCAGGGGAAGGTTATCACAGGTGGAAGTACTAAGTTTCGGAAACTTGGTAAGGACAAACGCGTAAAAACACAGGTTTAAGGGGCTGGAAAAGCGTAAAAGCCGCTAGGCGGGTGCTTGCTAATCAGAAACGTAAGGTTGTTTCTGGCCAATCAGAACGTTTTGGAGGCAGGAGCGTTCCGGAATCACGGTTCTGCTTTAATATATAGGATAGGATAAAGTTGTCCCGTCACTGGTGTAATAATTATTGTAGTATTTTTTCTATTTCTAAATTTTTGATAGGATGAGCTCTGTTGGCCTTAGATTTTTCTTGGGATGGTAGCCACTTAGCCACTAGTCAGTAACCGGTCGCAGACTGAGATAAATTGCTGTACCATGGCGAAGCATTTTGATCAGCCGATTCTTGTGATCAAATGCTGCGTTGTACTGTATCATTTTTTTAATTCTCAAATCAAAGGAATAATTAAATTTTTGTTTTTCAAAGGAGGAGTTCTGCCGTTCGTGGCCCCATCGACTCTTCAGAACCCGAATATTTCACAGAACCTACAGATAGTGCAGCTTTATTGGCTTCAGAAAAGGAAGATTTAGATGATGACGATGTTCCCGACAACGATGATGATGACAGTGACTCCGACAACGATGACAATGATAATTTTCCACCCGCTCGCTGTGCAATGGTGGTTTCCGGCACTTTGACCGTGTTATACTATGCATTGGAGTTATCTGTCAACTTTCCCAGAGTAGCTTCATTGTTCGGAGTCAATCAGTCTCTTCCCATGGCTCCCTGCATGGAATGCTGTATTAACGACGAGGCGGTACGTGTAAAGCGTTGCGGTGTTTTTTTATAATGCGGTGATACTAGTGCTGAATACAGGGAACCTATTATTATAATTATGAGATAATTATTTTGTTAAATACTGTGCGCGCCAGCATCGCACAACATACAATTGATAAAGCTAGAAAAGCAGACGTCGTAAAAGCTGTATTTCTGCATTAAGAAATTGGACACGACCTGTTTTCGACTGGAATATACTCTTTCAGATCTTGAACCCCGGAAGCGCAATGTTTTCGTACTGGGGCTGGGGCGAGCTTGACCGGTTCAACAACAGCCAAACCGAATCTTTAGTCAAATTCTCACCATCGGGTTTCGCGCAGTTCATCGGCGGAGTACTCTCAATATATAGCATCCTAGCAATTTTTTACATCCTTCTGGCATGCATAGGGCTGGTACTTTACGTGATTGGCCTGGGCTTAGGTCGTGTGATGACTTGGTTCATGCATGACACGGATGGAAACGATGGCAGGTACGTTCATTAATAATAAATACGACATGATATTACTTTGTGGCGTAGTGTAGTGGCAGTGATGGCACGAGAATGTGCTGTCCTCTGTGACCTCTGTGTATGTGGTATCTTGTCTAGGATTGCAGCTGCGTTAGCAAGGTACCTATGTTGTCCTGTTGAGTGTTGAAACAATCAGTTGGGTGTGTGCGCTCTCATTGGCAGTTAACATACTTATTATAAAGGTCACCATCACCTCAAGTCATGACATGCTTTCTCGGAATGAAGTATTCTGACTGCAATGTGCAAATGTTAAACCGTGAATCGTTCCGTCATACACAAGAGAAATTTTACGCTGTCAACCTATTCTACATACCTGTCCCGATTTTAACGACACCAAATTAAGTATCTGATTAAACAGTTTCTGTCTGTAATTCAGGGCCGCCGAAAGCCTCGGGACACAATTGCGAAAGACAGCAAGGAAAGTGGCTAACGAGTACCTGCGGCTGCATACATCAGCATCCATCAGCATTTGCGTGTGCGACCGAATGGTCAACATTGTGGGCAGGATTATTATCGTCCTCCGGCGAACGGCATGTTGGTTGCTCCTTCCGATACCAGTATTACGACTCTTTCTCACAGAACGAATGCAGCTTCCTGGATTAATAGCAGTTTTGACTGGCTATCTGGTGTGGGTGTATGGGAGCAGCATCTATGGCCGTGGGGCAATTTGTGGTGAAAAATACAGAATCATTGCGCAGAAGCCGTACCCACGCAGACCATTTATACCAAAAGAGTATACACGGGAAGTGCCCGGCCAGACAAGAAAAGCGCCAAGTTGTCCACATTGCGCGCACTGTCAGATTCTGAATCCGGATACAACGGTTGACAACGAAGACTGAGTGCTTACTGGTTAGTTGTGCAGTGTGTCGTCCGTCCGACTTCATCAAATCGCTGCTTAATGCTCGAATTCGCATTCGAAGGCATGTCGATGGACATTTCGAGCATGCTGAGGGTTCTACTGCAGTGAGCCCGCTGGACGCATCCGAATGCAACACGTACCGGACGCGCTTGCGGACTAACTGAAAATTGCGGACTAATGCTACGCTATGAATGTGAGGCTGTAGGTCCGTGATACATATAGACACAGGCCAGGCTGTCATTTGTTGTCGCAGTTTTCTGCCTCTACCGGGCCAGATAGATACTTTCAGTACAACTATGTTTGCTCGGAGGCAGTCCAACCATACACTGTATTTTCGGTAAACTTGGCAAAATGTGATTACATTAATGGCATAAACTACCGTATTCCATGCATGCATGTTATCAACGTTAGCATATCTGGTTGCTGCTCATTAAAGCAATTATTAATAATAACCAATAAATCAATCAAATATCGAAGTACAGTACCTTATTCATTGATCAAAATAATCGTAGAAAAAGGTCTGGCTACCCTGGCTAGCCACCCTTGAGATCAAAAGCGGTAACTCTGCGGGAGTTTGGCCATAGGTCTCTCAAAAAGGAAGACTTTATTAGTCAGAAAAACCAGATTTTCATGCTTTTCGTCAGAGCAGACTACTGTACAAGACCCTTGAATGACGTCTATGGCTGTTCTGCTATAAAAAGATACCAATTTACCAAGACCAAATTTCTTTACAGAAAGATACAGACAACCGTATTTAATTGTATTTTAAATATTCTACGGATTGAACCCTATGTTGCAGTTCCATTGAAAAATTGTCGAAATTTCGACAACGTTGTGGCACTGAATCTATTGTTTTTTCAATTTGTTAGGCTACTGATTGTCGTTGAATTTCGTTACAATAATCTTGCAATAACTTGCTGATTTTGCTTAGGGTTTAACTTACCTAATCGTGTAGCCGATTTAACACAATACATACCACGCCAAATGTGACCGCCACCCGTTGAATATTACATTTCCCGTATCGCGGAGCATCGATCACGTTGCATCACCCACGTTCTCCTTCAAACCGCATGCGATGATGTCATCAGCGCGCTCGCAGCATCTGAGCATCGTGAGTGATCGATGATCAGTGCTAAAAATAGTTAGCGTACAACATCGTACAATGGAGAGCAACTATCGTGTACGTACACGAGAACAGGTTTGCGCTGTTTAAAACCGGCACACCATGTCAAAATAGTATTGATCTGTTGAGTGATCCGGGAACATGCGCAAGCACAAGGCGGCATCACTACATGCTGATATCATACTATTTCACAGTCCAAAACAAAATAAAGCATGTTGATAAAAGCGTGTTCATTCGTGTAACGGCTTTAACGCAACTTAACTGTTAAAACATAGCAAAAGTTAATGTCAATTTTGCCAGACATATTGTGTAAATAATATAAATCGCTATAATAATATCATCCAGCAAACGATTTTAGTCGACAGATTCGATAAAGCGGACACATTGTGTCATCATGCGGAAACTACACGGCATTTTGCTGTGTTCCCTGTCTAAGAATCGTATATGGGGATATCAGGAAATTCTGGCGGAGGCACTGGTCGTCGTGTGGATCACCACTCAAATCTCGGTTAAATTTGGCACCAGCTTTTTCCCACAATGGCAAACAGGCCGAACTGCGTCCGATTATCCAACCAGCCTGGACACCGTTCTGGAACTTTTCGGATATGTACGCTTACGGAACAAACAGTATTACACTAGCCTGCTGTTTTCTTGCTCATCAGTATAAAGCAAAGTACTGTAGCAAATTAACTCGCCCAAGCTCTTAACCGTTAGCTATAAATCCTGCGGAGTATTTTACTTGTAAATGGTAAATTATGATTATTATATGTACATTTGGATTATGTTCCGTTCACCATGCTTCAGTTTGCTAAAAACACCAGAAGGTAAGTATTTTTATAATTTGTAGTGTAACTGCTGAAGTGTTTTTAGAAAATTTAAGTAATTCACAGTTACTTATAAAGTGCGAGTTGTTTATTTTTATAACGAAGCGCTATCGTGCTTTGCCACCTGCTTAAGAAAAATTTGTTCTTTTAATAAAGTAATGCTGTAACGGTGTATTTGCACAATTTGCATTTGTTCTCGATGCATATGATTTTAAGTAAGTATTATTAGACATTTTTAGTCAGCACTGCCATAGTCTCAGAATAAACGTTTGGTATTGCAGTTATTTGTAAATACACTACATTTTTCCGTAATTTTGATTTGATTACAGTACTTTGTTGACGTTTAAGTTAATTATTTATGTATACTCGTTTGGTTCGTTGGTTATTAGTTTGCGATATTTCGACGTTGATCACATTCCGGAATTTTCACCATATGGATTCGCGTACCTGACACCAGTGTCAGGGTATTTATCTGCGCTGCCCCACATTAAAATATTTAAAACCTCTTTTTAATCCCATGTACAACCTTTGTATACAAACACTAATTATCGCAAAATCCAATTTTTAAAAGTATTTGTCGTGCGGAACGACGCGGACAGCCCGGTCGTGTCTCTGGCTTCATGCTTCCGGTAGGAATATCCATACTTAAGTATATATAGTATATATAGTGGGTATTCCCAGAATGCGAAAAACATCGACGTATTACAACGATAAAGGATGTTTCGCGAATAAACGATTTTTAGTGTAAAAACCAAAATAACAATTTCGCTGGAAAATTAAATGTAGAAAAGTCAATACAGAAATTAATACGCATTTTATTGCGCGAAAGCGTACGGCAAGCGATGCAACCGTGTCAGCTACGCAGCAATATGATTACTGCATTCTACGGTATACTCTTCGTCTTTGTTAGAAAGTACGCGGATGCGCGTTAAATGGAATGCTGGCGCCATGGAGGAACGTACCGCCGTATCCCGACGTCCCTGACACGGAAATTGAAATCAGCCCCTTGCGTGCTAACCTGGGCTACGCGGGCGCAGTGGTCACGGTGTGCGCCACCATCATGCTGAGTTTATCCGTGGCCGGTTCACTCATCGTCAACCGGCACTGGCGACTTCCGAAATCGACGCATGCGCATATGCGTGGTTGTGACCGCATTACGGTGCTCTTGGACTACCATCTCCACTGTATGAATGCCGATCTCGATAAATCCTATGAGGAAATTCCGGTAAAATCCTGCCTCGCTGTATTCGGTCTGGAGCTCCTTAGCGTGGTGACTATGGTTTGCGCCCTTTTGCTGTGGATTATCGGTTGTGTTTTGCCGATTATCAGTCTGTTAGCAGTAATTTCGATTGTGGTCGTGGCTGAGCTCGGTGCCGAAGCTGAGTACCCTTGTTGGGTTGGGTTTGTCTGCCTGTTGAGTCTGCACTGCACCGGCCGGCTCTGGGGACTGTGGATAAATGAGGGCTACTTTTCCTGGATGCGCAAAAAATTCCGGTATGGTGTTTACGCGCGAACTGGTATTTTTAGTTTTACTAACGAACTCATGATCAATTAATTACTGTATAAATCTGTATAAATACTGTCTGAAAATGCTTTAAAAATGCGTTCGGAGTTTAAGCAGCAATAGTTTTTGAATAAGGACGAAGTTTACCTCGACGTACACTGTTGCTGATTCCTGCTTTTATTTGAAAAGATTTGTGCTTTCTAGGAGGCCATGTGGCGTGGATGATCCTGCCGATGCCTCCGGATCCGAAGATTTCGCGGAGCCAGATGGCGCTATACCGACTGCAGCAGATGAGCAAAACCGCGATGCTCATTATGATTCACCGCCCGCTCTCGGTTGTACCATGGTCGTCGGCTCTTTGACGGTGCTGTACTTTGTGGGGGACCTGGCGTTAAAGCTTCCCGGACTCATCTCCCTCTTCCGTGGAAATATTTACCTCTCCACAACTAATTGCACGGAATGCTGTATTAACAGCGAAGCGGTACTTCTAACGCCAGAGATTTTATTTCATGAACCGGAGACAAAACTACTGAGTGATACCAACGTTATTATGTAGAGTTACTATCCAGAAACAGAAAAAAACTGCACTAAAGTTAGTTTGAAAATACTGTTTTAATGCCGGATTACTGCTTTCAGATCTTGGACCCCGGAAGCGCCATGTATTCGTACTGGCTCGAGCCTCAAATGCTAAATGACAGCTACGCGGAAACCTTATTAAAATTTACACCTTCCACTTCGGAGAAGTTTGGAGGCGGAGTATTCGCGATTTGGAGTACGTTTGTGGCTGCTCTCTTTCTTGTCCCATCGGTAACTGTGGCGGTAATCGCGGTTGGTGCGGGTTTCTGCTGTTTGGTGCGCTGGTTCTGTCATGACAACACGGATGAAACCGACGCCAGGTATATTTGTTTACACGCTTTTTCATGCACAAATTTCACTAGGTTCGTACATCTGAGAGATCGGACTCAAAAATGTAACAATTCCATGTTAACTAAAATAAGAACGATAATACATCTGCGATCCGAACGAATTAGCTTGTGTGGCGCCGGCAGATTTTCGTGAAAAGCTCCATCCGAAAAAGTTTAAAATTCCACGCGAGACTATCGACCTAACCGGAAATGGGCTAACCACACTCACTTCATTGGACAAAATAAACCGTTTTCTTTTTGAATACAGGGTTGTTGAGACTCTCGATCCAGCATGGCACAAGGCAGGAAAGGCAGTGGCCAAGGGATACGCTGACATGCATACATTGACCTCCGCCTGCGTGTGCCACCGAATGACCAGAAGTGTGGACGGAATCATCGTCGTTCTCCGACGAGCGGCATGCTGGCTGTTTCTCCCGTTACCCGTATTGCGACTATTCCTCGCCGAACAGCTGCAAGTCCCTGGACTGCTAATAATCATGACTGGCTATCTGGGGTGGGTGTTCTGGAGCAACCACCAGAATGAACAGAGGATTGAGAGTGATGACTTCGAACGCGCTAGACAGCGGAGAGTATCTCACAGACAGTTACCGGCAGATCACCCACTTGTTGTGCCAAACAAGCCATCTGATGCGACCAATTTCCCGCATTGCTCGCACTACCAGTCACGGATTCCGGGCACAACGGTTGACAGCCAACAAACAGCAGTTTAGATAGGGCATAGAAGCACTAGTGTTATGCGAAAAAATTTAGTCATCAGCATCAGGGTTGCAGATAAATTAACATACAACCGTTCTACAAACTCAAGTTCAGTTTTTAATCAAATCGTACAAATTAAACAATGCATTTATTAACTCAATTGATCTGCTTTTTTATAGATAGCACTGGCCTGTAGTCACTGTACACTGTTGAATGCAATGTAATATAATGAATGCAATGTATTGAATGCAATGTAACAGTGGGTCCCTTTGCCAAAAACTACTCGTAGACAAAAAGTTCCTAATGTAGCTGCTATAGTTATTGTTTTTTGTTCATTTGTATTGTTTTTTTTGTTTTGGATTTTGTTGTCCGAAGCTACTTGTTTGCTAGCGCAGCGTTTTAACATTCTGCTGCGCATTCTATGTGCGTTTCCTGCCTGGCATAGCTGCATTGTCATTATTTGTCAATAAATCCGAATATAGGAGAAGATGGCTAAAAATACAAATCAGCCAAGAATAATTATGAGAATAAAAGAATATTGATTTACAAATTAAAAAACAACAGTCCATACAAATTTTTATTAGACTGCGCCTTAGAATTACATAATTACCAGCTGTGATTTGAATCACGAACAATATTGGAGAACACATGCACGCCTTGCTCAGTACGGAAAAAGAGCATAACCAAGACAAATAACCAACTGGTAACACGTAACCACAGCCAATAATATTATTCCACAACTACACAACTTTGTGTACGAACACAACTGTATTTCAAGTTACCGCTGCAACTATTTCTCATTTAGCTACTGAATGCTGAAATTGTGGAGCGTCATTGGCATCAGTAGTCTTGGTATTCTTTAAGCGCATCTTCCGGATGTACAACTCTTGAAAAAAACAGAAGTGACAAACAGTGTCCCTGTAACCCAAGTTCCCTCCCAATCGGCTAGTGGCTCCTTCTGTTGTGAAGTTGGATTTCTGGAATATTTCCCGAACCTCAAGTATACATACTCAAGTACTGGAAACATTTCAGAGATCACACACAAACCCAATTTCCACAAGTCGCCCCAAGACCAAGTAAGATGAGGATGAGGATAAGCCAAATTTATGATGCCGGTCGATTCGTTTCTGGGCCTGTCACTGACGCGATAATTACTGGATGTGAAACTTCATGATGCTTGGCATGTGGATATTGTACAAGAAGCGCACACGTCCTCGAGGGCGCACTTTCGCGTTCCCAATGAAAACTGCTAACGTCACGGTTACAAATGTTGATGGGTTCATGACTGGGATATCAAGCAAGCTGGATAGATTAGCGATCTGGAAGCGCCCAACAGGAATTCTATAATTAACTTTAGCATAGACAATAGCATCATAAAAAACATTTCCGCTAATCAGTAAGGAAACTAGCCCTTACATAACAGCAATATCGCATACCCGGTTGAAAACGTTTGTTTCCTCGCGCTCCAAAATACTTTTGCAATGTTTTGCGTCTGTGAGGAGGAGTGGCCTCCCCGCACACCCGCACTGGAGCGGGTGCTAAGTTCTTTTGCTGTTTTTCGATAGTGATTTTCTCCATCTACCAGATCTTTGATCTGGTAGATTCGTCAGTTGCTAGCCATCGTCGTCTGAGTAACTTGCTGTCCTTTTGGCCCCGCAGCATTCTGCTGCGGGAGCTTCTGTAGTGTTATGTGAATGGGATATAAAAGTGTGCAGGTGTTTGTCGAGTGTTTTGCATTTCCGCATAGCTCGTAGTATACGGCACTGCTCACTCAGCAGGATAGATTCTGTCTTCTGTCTCTGCCCGTGGATTCTTCCAGAATCCATCTTCATACGTCATTTTCAGCCAACCCAGTCTTCCGCCGTGGTCTGCAAAAGGTTTGTGCGCGCAGCATCCGGTTGTCTAGATATGGCGAATTAGAGAAACAAAGTTAAAACCATTGTCCTGCACTGAAAGTTGTCAAGTGGCGCTGGCTAGGCGCGCACCGACCATCGACGGCGGAACAAAGCAAACCCGGATGAAGGCTTTAATGCCGAAATCTAACACACACCGCGCTTTGCGCGCGAGCCAAAAAACCAACTGCCAAGATAACGGATCCTGCAGCCAGCACAGCTGTGCTGCAGGCCGTGAGAAAGCATGCAAATGCCCAGACAGGAAAAAACCCAAAACCAACCAATGACAGAAGGGCTGAATCATAAGCCCGCCCTGACATCCCTGTACGGTCTAACACTGAGCTCCTGCGAAGTGCAGGTAAATGGCGTGATGCGCCGTAAAAGAACAGTGGATACAGGGACCGGTACGGTCCCTGTACTATGTCTAATAGACTGTACTACCGGGTGGCTCGGTTCCAGTTCGGTCGGCTCACGTGGTCCGGTATGGGATCCAGTTCGGTCAGGTTTGGTCCGGCTCGGTCCCGGTTTGGTCGGCTCGGATCTGGTTCGGTTTAGGAATGGTTCTGGGTCGGTTTGGCTCGGGTTCGGCCACGGGCGGTCCAGTGCTTGGGTCAACGCACTGTCGCGCCAGAATCCAGGGTCGGATGCGGAAATCGGTAGATTCCGCATTTTATCCGTCTGGAAAAAGGTCACGGTCTGGGGAAAATCGCGCAGGGGTTTGGGGCACAGGTACGGCCATGACCCTGCAAACACAAAAAATACGCTGCTCCGGGTAGGGAAAATCAGCTGCTCCGCCGCGGGAAAGGTTGTCCCAGGTAGGACGGGCAGGGTTTTGTTGGGGAAATTTCTCGGCGTGGTGATGGTGGTCGATCCGGCCGTGGGGATCGGGGTTGGCATGGCTGTTGGTGGTGGTGAAGGGTCCGCAGGTCTCCTGCTGGTCCGGGTTGCGTCCACCGTCGGCATCCGTCATCGGTACGGTGTGGCTGTGGGTTTGTCCGTCCATCGCTGCACTTCTGGCTTGGCGACATCTCCATCCCCTTCTGGGAGAGGCAGTTTCCTCCGCGTTCTGCGGGAGTGACGGCACAGCTCCGGCGACTGACGGGAAATCCGGAGGAGCGGGTGAGCTCCGTACCCGGGGTTGGCACAGGACGCGATCTGGTCCACAGCTCAGAGGTGGCCCGTGAGCGGGGGCAAGCCCGCTGTGTAACACACGATCGTCACCGTGTTCTGCTACCATGTCAAGTGGCGCTGGCTAGGCGCGCACCGACCATCGACGGCGGAACAAAGCAAACCCGGATGAAGGCTTTAATGCCGAAATCTAACACACACCGCGCTTTGCGCGCGAGCCAAAAAACCAACTGCCAAGATAACGGATCCTGCAGCCAGCACAGCTGTGCTGCAGGCCGTGAGAAAGCATGCAAATGCCCAGACAGGAAAAAACCCAAAACCAACCAATGACAGAAGGGCTGAATCATAAGCCCGCCCTGACAAAGTCATGTTCATATCCGAATTTTTTAAAACTTTGATCTATAGGACACATAGCCATATCTGTAGAGACAAATCTGAAGCCGTATCAGGTTTGTAGCAATTTCTCCAGCTTTTAAATGGATTTAAAACATTGTTAATCCGTTCCAAAATTTTATCTCTCTAATATTGTGCACCTGATATTTATACAGACTTGACTTTACAGCTACTAGCCATGTGTCTTTTACATGAAACGTTTAAGTACTCTGTAGATTACAGAGTCTGTACACGTGCCATTTTGTGTGTGACCAATGTATTTAAATTTGTGTCCATTTTAATTCGCCATATCTCGGCAACCGTTTGTTAAGCGCACAAACGGTTTCCGGGCAGTGTACAGCAAACAAACCATTTTCGGTTGCCGAATGGCGCAAAACAATACGAAAAATTGCTTTGTCGTGCGCAAATACAAAACATCTTTGATAGAAGGAAAACTAACTTTTCCAACTCTGAGTAACATTCGAATGCGCCGAAAACAATCAGAAAAAACATACAACTTTTATTGCGATTTCTTCCCTATCCAGGCCTGCATGCCTGGCCGTTTCCTAAATCCCGAAAATCCTATAGTTGCACAAAAGAACAGAACAGTACATTGTATCTTATACAGGGGGAAAATGAGTCTAGCCGAACCAGTCCCTTGTACTTCTGATGTAAGCCAGCTGGTGGTTTACGTTGTGGCTAGACAGCGTTTTATGTACAGCGCCGGTATTAACCGTAAGACTGCAGGTACTGATAACAGGTAAGCAGCACTCGTACAACTGCTGGTAAATAGGCTAAAACTGTATTATAACCCGGATCTGCCTGGTGCAGTTAATACCACATGTACCGTCATTGACGGTCCGTCAATGCCGCACAGCCTTAATAGCAGCGCTTTACATAAAACACTGTCAAGCTACAACGTAAACCACCAGCTGGCATACATCAGAAGTACAAGGGACTGGTTCGGCTAGACTCATTTTTCCCCTTATATTCATGATCCCGTTACATATACCTTTTTCTTTACCTACAGCGTCTAGTCTCCCGGCATTAAAACCCGAAACCTCGGATGTTTAAATAAATTTAGATTCTAGTTCATTTCAAAATTGTTCAAAAAAATTTCCAAAAGAAATGGAGTAAAGGGGAACGCATGGAGACTAAACTAAAGAAATTGTCTTGTTCTTTTCGCGACTGCACATAATGAGCATGCGATAAATACATACGATAAATACATGTACATACGTACGATACATGTACATATTTATATACGACAAATACACTGTACATACATACGATAAATGAAAACGTTGGAGGAAATATGCGCCCTTCGCCCGTCTCCAGTCTGAAACGTTTCAGCAGATCCTCCACATTATTAAAGCTTGCCCGGGTCAGAGCTCCTCCATCGTTTTGAAACTTTGGACAAAAAATGAAATTCAAGTCCAGGTATTCGGGAAAATCATTCTTTTTATTTTGCATGCAATTTGTGAAATACGGTATTTTTACCAAGCCACGAATCACTGGCTTGAAATTCACTGATTCAGCACAACGCGGCAGGACGATCGAGTTGCCCGTATTATAATCTTTACCGCATAAAATGAGGCGGGCGATCGATAATCACGGCTCAAAATAGTAAAATGTACGACGGTTTATAACGGAGTGGCTATTGCGTTCAAAGCAGCGCGCGATGTATACACTATGTATCCGTCGATCCACACTGAAGACGCATGAGCACGTGGCGATGTATTAGCTTTTGCAATTAATATACTTTACACTTTAGTATTGGTATTAAACGCTTAACAAACGTTTGGTATTATGCGCGTTCAGCCATGGAAATGTTAAAATGCAACTACCTTAAATGTTCGATCATGCCGGCAATCGGAAATCTCCTGTAGAGAAAGTTATTGCAGAAAGATCTTTATGGGACAGCGCTAAAAATTATACGTACAACCCGCTGCATCACTTGGCGAAACGGTTCTTTCTACTAGAAACTGGGCACTGCAACATCATGCGGAAACTACGCAACGCTGTGCCGTGTTTCCTGGATAAGAATCGTATATGGGGATATCAGGAAATTCTGGCGGAGGCACTGGTCGTCCTGTGGATCAGCAGTCAAATCTCGGTTAAATTTGGCACCAGCTTTTTCCCGCAATGGCAAACGGGCCGAACCGCGTCTGATTATCCAACCAGTTTGGACACCGTTCTTGAACTTTTTGGATATGTACGTACAAATCTATCAAAAGTCAAAACTCATTATTATTGTAGCGGCTACATGATAACATCTCGTTTCCTGCTGATTAGTGGGGAAACATCACGCTTTGGTTCGTTGGTTTGTGCACGTCAGTCTGATCAAGTGCACAGTATCTGCTCAACATAACTTAAAATTAATATCGGTAATTGTAGGCTTTGTAGCATCATCTTCGCAAACAAGCGTTGATTGCTTATACGTATTCGGACGAGAGGGGCTGTCTGTGGCAAATTACGAGTACTAAGGGAAAAACGCACCCGCATGAACAAAGAGGTGTCTCGAAAGCTTATTTATTTGCCCAATCTCATTTAATTTTGCATCAAAGCACACATGAGCACAATCACTTTGGTGAATTAAATGATATATACCGAATAGACATAAACTGAGACTTCACTGCCTTCTGCCGAGCTGGACTCTTTTAGTTTTAACTGCAGATATGTAACACTTCGAAGAAAATACCAGAAAGCCAGCAACCTCTAATTGACCAACCAGTCGGTTCCGCCATAGAAAAATTCCCAGGCTCTTATTAAACATTTATTTCATTTTAACTGCAGAGATGTAACACTACGAACTCGCTCGTACGATTTTTCCGGGCCTTTCGTTTCGGGTCCATTTTCAAACAGTATTTTCTCGCAGACAACACGTGTACGTTACTCAGTAAGTAATCCATCAACGATTACTGCGTATTCTACCATTGATTTTCTTTAGAAATTACGTGGATGCGTGCTAAATGACTTACTGGAACACTGGAAGAAAGTCCCGATCGAAAGCATGTTAGATTCCGCATTAACCGGCAGCAACATCGTAATCAGTTCCACGCGAGCCAACCTCGGATACACCGGCGCCGTGTTCACGGTGTGTTCCACCATCATGCTAAGTTTATCCATTGCCGGTTCACTCATCGTCAACCGACACTGGCGACTTCCGAAATTCACGCAAAGGCACCTGCCCGGTTGCGGCCGCGTTACGGCGTTCTGCTTCAATTTCAATCTCGATGATGACGCTGATCCCGCGAAACATGATCAGGAAATCTCGTTGAGATCTTGGTGCTCTGTACTGGGCCTGCTACTTCTTGGTGTGGTCACTACTATTTGTGCCACTGTGTTGTGGATTATCTTCTGTGTTTTACCGGTTATTCTCCTCTTGGCCATCAGCCTAATCGAGGTCGTTGCGGAGGTTGGTGCCGAAGCGGGGTACCCATGCTGGGTCGGGTTTGCCTGCCTGTTGAGCCTGCACTGTACCGGCCGGCTGTGGGGATTGTGGATAAACGACGGTTACATCGGCTGGATGCACAAGAAAATAAAGTATAGAAATTCCCTATTGGCGATCGCCTAGTTCACGCTCATTACATGTTGATGAACAAGTTAACCAAACCAAATTCGTCAGGTTTTATTCTCAAACTAAAATAAAATTTAACACTACTGTGAAGTATGAGTATGTAATAACTTTATTAGCCAATTAATACTACAATAATTAGATGTGAACCGTAACTGCGCTGTACATGGAATGACGAATAAGAGTAGTAATATGCCTGTCTCGACCGGCTTTTAGATGTGGGACGCTGATAAGAGCGTCCCGGGATGACGTCCCGTTTTTCAAAAAATAGTTTAGAAAATTCTGAAAAATTCCTAATGACCTAGAAAAATTCGTAAAAATAGGGTAAATATGTGTTAAATAGAGAAACGTGTTTGAACATGAAAGCTTGAATGCAACGGTGGTATTTATAGCCAAAATAGGAACTGACGGAAAGTTAATTACTAGCTGATGGACTTGTACAATCGTATATTATCGTTCCTTGAATGGGGGTATTCATCTTGGACCCCTTTGGAACTGGCTAAGGCTGGCTTTGAATGTACTGGTTATGAGGACTTAATTACGTGTAGTTATTGTCTTGGAACTATTAGTGCACGGAACATAAAGGGTACACCGGTTGCAACACATAAAATTTATTTTCCGGATTGTAAAATGTCGAGATCAGAAAGTGAAGTTACCAGCTGTAGTGACACCGAAGCGGACGCAGACGTTTATGATGGAGAGGCTAGTGAGGAGGAATTTGCTGGATTCGAGGTGTACAGCAAGGACATCATTACCAAGGTTTACTGCCCAAAAATGCAATCCTATGAAAGCCGCTTCGCTACTTTTGCTCGTTGGCCAAGCAGTCCACATCAACATCCACAAGAAATGGCTGCAGCGGGTTTTACTTTATAAACTATTGTATACTGACACGCTGTTTTTACTGTGGCATGGGAAGAGATTGCTGGAGAGAAAATGAAGACCCTTGGGAGATTCATGCTGCCTTAAGACCGCAGTGTCCGTATTTGATGGAGCAGAAGGGGAAAGTTTTATAAATACGATTCAGCAGAAGAAACAGAACAAATATAGAAATGCATCTAAAGAAGGTTAGATTGGCAGTAAAAGAGTAAATACCGTATTACAACTAAGCTTTCGATATTGTAGATGAAGACGCGCTGCTGTGGCCAGACAACGTGGCCGAAGAAGAAAAATTCTACAAGCTTTACAGTTCTATAGTTGGGAGCACGTGATGGAAGCCTTACGCCGGCGTCCGAGTGCGAGAATCATGGCCCAGTCGGAGCTGGGGTTTCCCTGGTCTGTTCCCTGGCTTGAACAGGGTTGCCGGGACAGCGAAAGGCGTGAAAGGTTATTGGCTTTATATAGTGGCCCTGCATTGCTGAACGGTAAATCAGTTTTGTGGTATTAACAGAAATGCGAGAATGAAGGGTAATAGCGAGGAACATCTGCGGGCAGTAAGAGAGCATTGGCGACGAATATTCCTACGTTCTCCAGCAGATCATCTGGCCGAAGTGAAAGACGAAAAGCTGTGTAAAATTTGTTACACAAATGTCATCACGCAGGTTCTATATCCATGTGGTCATTTTGTTGTTTGCAACTGTTGTGTGAAGGACTGTGATGGTTGCCCAATGTGTCGTTCCGTCATAAAAAAATCTTGCCAGTGTATTTTTGTTAAAAAAAAGAACAAGCTGTGGCTTGCTACTGAAATTTTTTTTTGTTTTATGTTAAGCTACCAGGGGATTGAACCCCAGACCTTATCCTATAAAATTGTTTAGTTTACGAGTAAGCCACAACATGTTCTGGTGAAAGTTGATTAAAGTTTTGCATCTATTTGATTACTTACTGAAATCCACAACGCACTCTGCGCAAAAGGAACCGGCAACGACGGATTCGACCAATAGTTATTAAGAGCAGTTGCATTACTACCAGCGTTATGTATCAGCTTTCACGGAAGCTAGTCAAACATTCAAGTTTGTTACAGGACATACAAGGAACAAGCAGCATTGGACATGACCAAGATATGGTAACGTCTATTGCTGAAGTTCCGTGGTACACGTCCTCCCTATATTTGCAAAGCCAATACTTTTAAGTTCCAATTCACATTGAGGTGTACATGGAACTGGTGGCTATGGAAATGACCAATTACAATTGAGGTAATTTCCATTACTACCAGCGCTACGTATCAACTCTCATAAAAGTCTGTCAAACATTCAAAAATACTGCAGGACGTACAAAGAACCAATAATAATGATGGATATGACCAACGTGCGGTAATGTCCATCATTATGGCTCCTGCTACAGACCGTCGACTTATTTATGAAGCCTATACCTTGAGTTCTGAATCGCATTGAGGTGAACATGGAGCTAGTCGCAATGGAAATGACCAATAGAAACTACGGTGATGTCCATTACTACCAGCGCAATGTACAACTCACACAAAAGTGTAACGGGAATTACGGATAGTAACAGATTAGATATTTGATCACATTCCTTTCAAAGCAGTTCCTGGTAACTGAACTGGTTTCGGTCCTGCTCAGTAGTCGTAGTAAGCTACATGGATTCGATCAATCCAGTTTAACTCAACCACGATTACAGAGCAATACCGTATATATGAACAAATAAACAAGTGAAAACTCTGCAGGGTCATAGTATGAACCCTGCTCAGGTCAGTAAAAAAGAAATATGGAGCCCAAAAGGTCACGACGCTGACGGTCCTGCTTAGTAATCGTAGTCAGTCCAAAGGATTTGGTCAATCCATTTTGAACTGATCTAAAATATCCAAGCAATACCGTGACGGGGAATGGCGGGCGAGACAAGGTCGCTAGGGCCATAATATCCAACTGGCACTGAACAACTCTGAACCACTTTATACACCAAAGTTGGTTCAAGAACGGAAGACGACTGAATTTTGCTGTTGGAAATATTGGGCTTTATATACCATGTTTGAGAACTGCTGACCGGAAATGGCAGATACTATCTTTGTTGTAACTGGTATATAAGAGCTGAAATGTTTGCAACTGTGGCTACCATGAAGCATGTCAGTACCATGGCGCAGATGTACGACAACACATTAGCGGTAATGTACGAGGCCGAGATTTTGCCTTTGCAGGTTCCTATAGCCAACTGCAGTGGAGTTTGGCTGGAAATGTAAAGGCCAACGTGATAACGTTCAAGGGAAGTTTGATTGGATGGAGATTGAAGGTCAACAGGGAGAGCGATTAGTATTCATCCATCTCTTACCGATGGAGGCAAAGAAACTACACGAAGCGTTGACTCCGCGAAAGACATCCATCCGGCTGAAGTCCGTCGAAGGATTAAGCTGGGACATGGAAGTGGAAGCTACAACATACTGCTCAAAGTTATTGTTAAATCATCCAGAGATGGTGCTGGAGCTGCCTTTATTGGCCCAAAAGAAGTTGTGTAACATTCTACAGGCGTATGAGCGCGAAATAAATGAAGCGTGTGCTGGCTAGCTGTTATTGATGGCAATATTGAATAAAGTCTATTTAAGGTGGTTGTTGTATATAGTACAGAAAAACCATATCGTTAATCAGAGAATATCTTTACACTGCAAAACAAAACGAACGCCATATCGAACACAATGGACGCTACATCAGATATAATGTACGGAGCGGTGATTAAACCGTTAGACCAGGGAGAATGCGAAGCGAGCTGGGATTTGAAACGAGGTACAAAGGTTAATATCATAACGGGCAAGGGAGGCCGTTTTAAGCGATTGCAACTTGTGGACGAACAGGCAGGGGCGAGAGTTTCCTGGACGTTTGGTGCTGCAGAAGCATACGACATCCATGAATTATTAAAAAAGTCCAAAATGGTTAAAAATTTAAAGATACACAACCGGAATCACCTTGGACATTGGAAATAGAGTACGAACTGGATTGTTCAAGAATGGCATTAGTCAACGCTCATGGGTTCTCCATCCACTTTAAGAGTTACGACCAGTATATGCTGTATCATATACTGCACGGTTTCTTGGAAGAAATTAAGATAGCACTAGAGACCGATACGGCTGCGGGTGTAAAGTCTATTTAAGGCCTTAGGAGTTCAAGTTTCAGAGTATAAGGCAACGACCTGCAAGTTTCTAGAACGTCGTTTTTTTTATTAAAACAACCATGGAGTTCAAGACGATTGTTTTCATCCTGTGTGCTCCATCGGTGTTCGGCGGTTTGGCAAGTGATAATTCAACCTTTAATAGTGACACTGAGATGTTTGTCAGGGACGTTGTGAAGGAAATTCACGGTAAAACAAATATAAAAACAGAGGGTCGTCTGAAAGTCAAATAAAAAAAAACAATTGTTTAGATTTGGCACCGGGTATGAACATCATGGTCGATGGCTGGTTATGCAAAATTCTCCACGTGGGGTATGAAGTCCCCAAGCCTAAGAAGCCAGAAGATTTTTTTCTAGTCTACCAGTTAACCCGAATTGTTCAAGCTGGTGGGAGCCACAGTTTTGAGAGGTCGCTATCGGCTTCCGCTACCCCGACCTGTGAACGGTGACTCTGACCTAGGCCTGTATGTTGGGAAAGTCATGCAGGTCGCACAGTACTGCTGTAAAATAGTATCGCGTCGGGCTGGTTATCAGTCATGGTGGAAATGATCCTTGAACGGTATCGATCCTATAAAGGTGACCCTAACGCTACCATACCGATGGCCGGTATATAAACCGAGAAACATGCAAGCGGTTAGTACGGCAGTGTAAAAATGTCTGAAGTCAACGAAGACTACGATAGTGGTGGAGACTCTCTTCTGGTTGAAGATGGCGAATTGCAAGATTCTCCAGTAAGCTCAACAAGGTCTGTTCCACCGCAAGTACCGGACTCAGCTTCAGTACCAAGCGCTGAAACCGGAGCGTCACCAGCCACGCCAACTCCGCCACAACCACCGCTACGGCCAGAACCAGCAACTGCGTCGACTTAGCGCCTGCGGCGGATAGGCCGTATCGTCTACCATTGGGCGCTTTGAGTGGATACA